TTTTTTGGTTGCAGCCATCATTGTTGTTTGGCAGGCCAGGCTGGATTCGAACCTGCCACCTTAGGTATATGTGGCTGGCGCCTTAGCCACTTAAGCCACAGGCACCAAGCCCATTACTCTACTTATAATACTGATTTCTCAGGTTACAAACTATGAAGTCAAGGACCATTGGTGGTCCTTCAAAACTAAATTAGTGTTTTGGTTTTTTTTTTAAGAGACAGGATCTGTCGCTGAGGCTGGAGTACAGAGGTGCAAACATAGCTCACTCCAGCCTCAAATTCCTGGGCTCAAGCAGTCCTCCCGCATCAGCCTCCCAATTAGCTGGGACTACAGGATTGAGCCACCACACCTAGCTTAAATTAGTGATTTTTGGTGATACATACTACACATCATTGCACTTAAGGAAGGCAAACAAACTTACCAGAATTACATGCATATAGCAGAACACAAGCTGCTTGCAACTCAGACTGAGCTGGGTTCAAATTAATGTGAGGTGACCTTGTCAAATTATTAAATAGTTACTCTCTCTAACCCTTCTTATTCTAGAAATAAGAACTAAAACTGCCCACAAAGGTTAAAGGCATTAACAGAAAAGTATTTAGCATAGTGTCTGGCAAATGGTGTATGTTCAATGGAAAGTAGATCCCAAGGGCCAATAACCATACTTTCCCCACATTTCCAGTTAATCAGACTATTTTTATTCTCCAAAAGTCTGCTGTATTTTTTAACTTTCCTGATTTCCACATCATCCACACATCGTCATCCACATCAGTTCCAGATAAACACAGATCTCTCTCATTTCTGGGATCTACTCATTCTCTTGCTACCTTTTATCTACTGATAATAAAAGGGAGTTGAATTTTGTACATTTTCCCCATTTATCTTCTCCCACTCCAGAAAGAAAGCCAAAGGTATATTATAATTCTCTCAAGAGCTCCACTAGAAATGAACAAAATGCTTAGTACACAACAAATTTTAGACACTACAAACTTTGAAAATATTCACTGATAACTAACTCCTGGCAATAGAATACGAATCCCCGTCATGTTAACCTACTTTAAATTCATACACTCAAAGAGAAAAAAGGTTTTTTTTTTTTTTTAGAGACAGAGTCTCACTTTGTCACCCTCAGTAGAGTCCTGTGGCACCACAGCTCACAGCAACCTCCAGCTGTTGGGCTTAGGCTATTCTCTTGCCTCAGCCTCCCGAGTAGCTGGGACTACAGGTGCCCACCACAATGCACGGCTATCTTTTTGTTGTTGCAGTTTGGCCAGGGCTTGTTTTGAACCTGCCACCCTCGGGTCGCTAACAATATATATATTGCTAAATTACTGAGGTAACTCAAATGGCCCAGCGTTTTGCCTAAAGCAGATGAAAGAAACCATAAGACCTATTAGAATGATATGAAGCAAAAGGAATTCTTACTGCAGGTAAGAATTTGGAATGATAAAGCCAATTTGGAATATAGTTTGGCAGTTTCTTACAAAACCAAACATACTCTTACCATACAATCTAGCAATTATTCTTCTTGTATCTATACAAATGAGCTGAAAACTCATGTCTACACAAAAACCTGAACACGGGTATTTATAGCAGTTGTATTCACAACTGACAAAGCTTAGAGGCAACCAACATGTCCTTCAGTGAGTAGATAAACAAACTGTGGTACATCTGGACAATAGAATATTATTTAGGGATAAAAAAGAAATACGCCTTCAAGCCACAAAAGATATGTAGAACCCTTAAATGCACATTTCTAAATCAAAGTAGCCACTTTGATAAGGCTATATACTGGGTGGTGCCTGTGGCTCAAGGAGTAGGGCGCTGGCCCTATATACTAGAGGTGGCGGGTTCAAATCCGGTCCCAGCCAAAAACTGCAAAAAAAAAAAGAAAGAAAAAAAAAGAAAAGGCTATATACTATGATATTTGAAAAAAGATTTAACAGTGGAGACAGGCTCAGCCCTGTAGCTCAGTAGTTAGAATGCCAACCACATGCACCCAGGGCTGGTGGGTTCGAACCCAGCCAGGGCCTGCTAAACAACAATGACAACAACAACAAAAAAACAGCCAGGCATTGTGGCAGGTGCCTGCAGACCCAGCTACTTGGGAGGCTGAGGCAAGAGAATTGTTTAAGCCCAAGAGTTTGAGGTTGCTGTAAGCTGTGAAGCCGGGGCACTCTACAAAGTGAGACTCTGTTTCAAAAACAAAAACAAAAACTGTGGAGATAGTAAAAAGACCAGGAGTTAAAGAGCAGGGAGGAAAGGATGAACAGGTAGAGAATAAATGATTTTTAGGGCAGCAAAACAACTTTACATGATGCTACAATGGTAGATACATGTCATTATATATTTGTCAAAATCCACAGAATGTACAATGCAAACAGTGAAATCTAAACTATAGATTTTAGTTAATAATTAATGTATGACTCACGCCTGCCTGTAACTCAAGCGGCTAAGGCGCCAGCCACATACACCAGAGCTGGCAGGTTTGAGTCCAGCCTGGGCCCACCAAACAACAATGACAACTACAACCAAAAAATAGCCGAGTGTTATGGCGTGTACCTGTAATCCCAGCTACTTGGGAGGCAGAGGCAAGAGAATCGCTTAAGCCCAAGAGTTGGAGGTTGCTGTGGGCTGTGACACCACAGCACTCTACCCAGGGTGACAACTTGACTCTGTCTCCAAAAAAAAAAAAAAAAAAAAAAATTAATGTATGAATATGGGCTCATCAATTATTAACAAATGTGCTATACTAATGGAAGATGTTAATAATAAGGGAAACTGTGAGGGGGTTATGGAAACTTTCTGTACTTTCCCTTTAATTTTTCAACAAATCTAAAACTGCTAAATATAAAGAAACCAAAAAGACAAACAAAAAAAAGTCCTAGATAAGAGAGACAAAGCTTCTGCACGAAAATGAACTTTAGCCAGTCACACATCTAAAACCCACTCAACGCTGGGTAACTCCTATTCTATATTCTAACCTGACGTAAGGTTATCTACTCTTTAACTGTGCATTTTTGGTGACAAGATGCTTATTTCCTAACCAATTCATTGCCTGTCTCTAACACCTGGCACATAGTAGATACTTGATAGATTAGAAATTAAAGATAGCTCTAACTATCAAAAACCTCAGTCATGGCCAAGCATAGGAGCTCATGCCCAGGAGGGAGGCTGAGCTGGGAGGATCATGTGAGGTCAGGAGTTTGAGACCAGTTTGAGAAATATAGGGACATCCCATGTCTACACAAAAATAAAAACTACTTTCCAGGTCTTGCATGGTAGTATGTGCTTGTAGTCCCAGCTAATAGGGAGGCTAAGGCAGGAGGGTCATTTGAGCCTAGGAGTTCAAGGTTGCAGTGAGCTATGATGATGCCATTGCACCATAGTCTGGGCAAGAGAGCAAGACCCTATCTCCAAAAAGGAAAAGAAAATAAGTTCAGTCTTATACAGTAACAAAACATGTTCCTATAAATTTCCCCCCTTAAGGGCTAGAGAAGACTTGAGAGATCTTCAAGACTACGCCCGCTCATTTTACTGAAGAGGCTACCAAGAGAAGATGAATACTCACATAAATCCCAAGTTACATGAATCAACCAACTAGCACATATAACTTCTGAAATGAAGATTTACCGCTTAGGTTTGAAGACAACTTTCTGTCCTCCTTCAAGTATCAGTAAGGCTTTCAGCTGTGTCCCTTTATAACCTACATCAGCTTTAATGATTTTCTTGGTGGCCATGGCATGCATGATTGCTCCCAACTCTGGCGTCTCTTCAGGATACACTTCCCGGGGAACTACCCACTGGGCTGCAATCTCCCAGGGAGACTGCAAGGTGTGGTCCAGCTTGGGTGCCAGCTCCACCCGTAAGCCAGTCATCATTCGGTGGAAAGCCCTCTGGTCCTCCCGGTTGGCAGCCGATGTATCTAAGTTGTCAATCAAGAAAACTTTGGTGAAGATAAAGATGACAAGGAGAATTGCTAACAGCACAACTCGCTGCTTTAGCTTCATGTTGGTCTCTTTTCCTTCTCCCCAACCGTGTCGTTCTCTTATCAAGGAGAGCAGGTGGTGATGGTTAGCAAGGAGATTCCATGATTATACACACTGGTCCATTTCTTCACTGAAGTGCCTCCCACAATTCCTGCAAGCCCAAGTATAAAGCAAAATTCAATCAGAAATTATGTCTTTCCACCCAAGAAATCTTTTGTAATCCCCTAATATATGAGTTTCCCTTTTCAGACTTGCTAGTCATAAGCTTGAGAAAGTGTACTAATTTAAAATTAACTAGTGTTGGTAAGGACTTATTAAGAACTGGGTATTGGCGGTGCCCATAGCTCAGCGGGTAGGGCACTGGCCACATACACCAAGGCTGGCGGGTTCGAACCCAGACCGGGCCTGCTGAACAACAATACCAACAACAACTAAAAAATAGCTGGGCATTGTCGTGGGTGCCTATAGTCCCAGCTACTTGGGAGGCTGAGGCAAGAGAAGCACTAAAGCCCAAGAGTTTGAGGTTGCTGTGAGCTATGACACCACAGCACTCTACCCGGGGCAACAGCTTGAGACTCGGTCTCAAAAAAACAAAAAGAAAAAGAGAAATGGGTACGCTGAAAATTTTTAGCATTCCTAGGATGCAGCGCTATTTGGCTGGCTACACATGCCTAACAACCAAAATAATGAGGGAAAAAATACAAAAGCAAGAGGGATATGGTAGCTCACACCTATAATACTAGCACTTTGGAAGGCTGAGACAGGTGGATTGCCTGAGCTCAGGAGTTTGAGTCCAACCTCAGCAAGAGTAAAACCCCATCTCTACTTAAAATAGAAAAATAACTACCCAAGTGTTGTGGCGGACACCTGTAGTTGCAGCTATTTGGGAGGCTGAGGCAAGAGATTGTTTGAGCCCAGGAGTCTGAGGTTGCTGTGAGCTATGACACCATGGTACGCTACATGGGGCAACAGAGTAAAACACTGTCTAAAAAAGTAAAAAAACACAAGAGCAAAACATGAAAATATACACAATTCCTTAACTTTCGTTTTCACCTTTCAAAATTCACGAAAGACTTCTGAATATCCCAAACCACAAGTTTCTGGTAACTTTCCAGTTCTTACCTTCTCCAAATATAAATTTTATGACACTTTGTTAGAAGGTACAAAAGAGTAATAACTCTTTCTTTGAATCCAAATACCCAGCAATGCTGGTCGTGTCACATCTGCTCCTCACATGTTTAGATACAATACCTAGACATGTATTTACACTTAATCAGTTCCCTACCAATTATTTTTCAAAACTAAAATCCCTATAAATTACAGAAAATCAAATCTGGATAAATTAAGGAAAAATATATCCCTATGTCATCTATTAGTAGACTATGACCAGAAAACTAATGAAGCCTGGTACTGTAGCAACATTGCTAAGTCTAGAGTGGTCAGCACTTAACAAGGACATTAATATGTATACAACAGCCACGAAAAATTGCTGCTTCCAGGGTGGAGCTGAGCACACTCTGGGCAATTCTCAAGCCAAAAGATTCCAAATATAAGAGTTTTGCAAGGGTGTTAAGAACATAAGATTCAGTCTTATTTGTATGCTGAGGTTGCTTTCCACTCTGCAGGGCCATTTAAAAACATGCACAGGCTTGCTCTGCTATATGCCTACAGACAGCACAGCATTAACGTAAGACAAGAAGATAACACGGTGTTGCTTCACTTTCTATTCATTTAACAACCCAAACCATTAATCAAAGAAATAAAACCAATAAAAAAGACAGGGCAAATGATTCAGGCTAAGACACTCCCACCCAAACTTGTTACCGCTCCCCTAATAACAGCTGGAAACATCTGTCTACTAGAGAGTCATTCCAAGTAGCTAGGACTACAGGTGCCTGCCACAACGCCTGGCTAGTATTTCTATTTTTAGTAGAGACAGGGTCTCACTCTTGCTCAGGCAGGTCTCCAGCTCCTGAGCTCAAGCAATGCACCTGCCTCAGCCTCCTAGAGTGCTAGGATTACAGGCGTGAGTCACCACACCCTGCCAGGGACAGTATATTTTAAAGGCAACACCCTGTGGTGAGACAGCTGACTGAAGTTTATTCTCAGTGATTAACCACTCTCCTACTGTTCACTTTCAGGACAAAAGCAGAAAGTGAGAGTTAAATTCAAATTCTAATTATCCCCAGCCACCTGTTTTGTTTCATCATCATCTCCCAGGGAGCAGATAACACTATTAACTGAAACAAAGGCAATTCAAATGCATCTAAAATGTAATTGTGATGGTATCAAGTTTGGTGTGGAATTCAGTAAAACAGTTCTCAGTGATTACCGATAACAGCAGGGATAGGAGAGCAGATTTCAGAGACTTTTGCTAGTTCTAACACGACCTAAACCCCACAACTTTTTCAATTATTTGAACAGTACACATCACAGGATGCAGTGATAAAAAGCAACCCCGAAATCAAACTGTATCAGCAATTGCTTCCTCAGCGCCTCCAGATGCAACTAGCTACACACACACCATCTGAGCACAAAGGGGTCAGCTTAACAGGCGTTCACTTTCTACAGAACAGCTTTCAGGACTCAAGTCTGATTAACTCACAAACTTCTAATGATGCTGCTCATCCAGTTAGAATAAAGAAAATCCTCCCTCATGTTATATAAATATATCATATCCAAATGTTTAGCACAAAAGGGCTGCGGCTTTTTGCTTTTGTTTTTTAATCATCAATGCAATAGGGAGTTCTACCAGCTCCGAAATTCAGTTAAGACAAATGTCCAATTTCACAATCCAAGTTTGTGTGCTTTTAAAGTTTTGAAATCTCATTATCTTTTGAATAGGCCTTAGAACACATTCATTAATTCAGGTCTACAAACATTTCATCCACTCGGCTAGGACAGAAATTTATACTAAGGGGGTTCAATTGTTATGATATTTCCCTATTTACTTCTGTAATCCTGAGTAAGGGCAGGTTTAAAAAAGAGGCTGAGTGAGTTTTCACGTTTGTGATTGGTTGCCACATCCCAGTAGATCAAGTAAGATCTGCCTTTCATTTCCACAGCCACCAACTTACCTCAGTGCTCATCTGTTGGACCACAGAAGGAACTGACATCTGGGCCTCCAGGTTCTCCAAGCCAGCCTAGATAGTACAGCCAAAATCATTTTTTAATCACTCAACCACCTTTGATTCTACAAAAATGTTCAGTAGGACATTAAAGCTCTACCCCACATGGCTTCAAGCTAGGCATCACTCCTGCTGTTCCTCTTCCCATCTTCAACTAAAATGGACCAACTTGCTCTCGTCCTCCCCTTTTTGCCTTGTCACACTAATTCCTCTTTCTTACCCTTTCTTCCTATCTCCTCCTGTTTGAAGTCTAATCTTTCTTTCAAATCCCATCTCCTATGCCATTTTTGGTCCCTCCTTTTTTTTTTTTTGCAGTTTTTGGCCTGGGCCAAGCCTGAACCTGCCACCTCCAGTATATGGGGCCGGTGTCCTATTCCTTGAGCCACAGGTGCCGCCCATGGTTCCTCCTTTCAACTAGTACTTAACTACATTCTGCCATGCATAATATCTTCTTGCATACGGGCGGGCATAGTTCTCCTTAGAATGACTCCCTTCCCTCCTTCATGTTTGAGAGAAGAGAAGGTACCTGAGACAGGGCCTCCATGCCACATTATCTTCCTGTCCTATTTGAAACAAGCAGCATACTATACTCACTGCAGACTGAATTCTGACAAGGATTCCTTCATTTCAGATGTGAAGGAAATAAAAACAAGTTTGCAGGGTATATTCCAACTATTCATGAAAACCTCACAGCATCCCCAGAGGAGTGTGCCTGCACTATTTTCATGCCCTCAGCTCCTCCTACAAATGCTTCAAACAGAGTAACAATGTCCAGTTATATTATGGTCATTTATTTTAATGTTTCTGTTAAATAGAACGGAACCTACCTCAAAAGAACAAATAGGCTCAAGGTAATAACACAACTCGAAAAATGTTAACTATAAAAACCGCAATGTAAATGGTACATTTGTAAATAGTCTTCACACTAACTGCTGGCAAAAACTCCCAGTCTCTAGAAAGCAGACCTTTACAAGGAATTTCCCCACTGAATCCTAGTTTCACGCTCTCCTCCATCAGCTACAAGGGCTTGCTACAAAGACTCACGTTCATTCTTCACACATATACCCCACCCTACTTGTTTGATAAATATTTTTCAAGGAGGGAAGGGAGTCATTCTAAGGAGAACTATGCCCGCCTTATGCAAGAAGATATGCATGGCAGAATGTAAGACTACAAAACTGTTTCAAGAAGAGACACAGATTCCACAGGAAAAAAAGTGGAGTATT